CAGCAGCTCCACATCCCTCTTGTCCTGGGGAGCCCAGAACTGGACATGGTACTCCAGATGTGGCCTTACCAGGGCTGTGTATAGGGAGACGATCACCTCCCTCGACCTGCTGGAGACGCTCTTCTTAATGCACCCCAGGATCCCSTTGGCCTTCTTGGCCACCAGGGCACACTGCTGCCTCATGATCAACTTGTCATCCATCATGACGCCCAAGTCCCTTTCTGCGGGGCTGCTCTCCAGAAGGTCAGTCCCCAGCCTRTAACTTTTCTTTTAGTATGGGAAATAGGAAAAAGTCTCTGCCCCAGCCCCCATCACATGCTCYAATGCAGACTTAAGGCATCAACGCAAAGTTAATGGAATTATGCAGTGAGGATGGGGCAACACGGTGTTAATCTCTTCTTGCATCTATAATAAAAATKACTTCCAATAATCTCATTTTATCTTTCCTATTAAAAGTCACACCACATAATGCAGGAAGTGGATGATGTTTACAGTCCAAGCATGGATTTAACATTTTTTTTTCCCCAAAGCATAGGTATTGGCTCACTGCACACTATTAACTATTTCTGCCTCTAGATCAGGATTTATTTTCCCCTGGGCTTTTCCAAATATTTATTGTGGGAGTATCTGTAAGTAGAATTATACAGTCTTCCATATACCCAAAGCACAGCTCCTGCTAAAGTCAGTTGCAGCTGTGAGTTTCAACACTTCTGCAAACCAGATCACAAGGGCATCAGTCAGCCAGCCAGAAAATGAGGAACATTCAACCAGTGACCACCTGTGAAAGAAATGGTTTAAGGAACCTCTGAGGTAAAAACAAGAGTAGCTTGGAAATTTTCTGACAAAACAGCACTGCATCAAAAATATGGTTTTACCGAGCCCRAAGTGTTCTGTTTAAAATATTTCATGCTGAAGAAACTCTTGCCAAAATCAAAATGAGATCTGGAGGCAACTCAGATTCCTGAAGGGTAATTACTAGGCCAAGAAACTGGAAGTACCAGTCACTAGTCCCAAAGAAGCTCATCTAAAGACAGCCCTGCATCACAGGACAAGAAAATCTCTAAATTGCCCACCATACCTGCATGTTTGAGGAGAAATGGTGTTAAGTTGGATTTGGAACAACTCCAGAATTAAAGAAAACAAATAATTCAATAAATAAATAAATAAATAAATAAATAAATAAATAAATAAATAAAATAAATAAACCTGGCTTTTCAGGCAGCTCTCAGGGTCAATTTTAACTGCTTTGATCAGTAGGCTGTAACATCTTTTCCTATAAGTACTGCCTCATTTTTTATCTCCTAACAATATTTCTGAAAAAAAAAAGTCAGATGAAAACCTGCAAGTGAGCCAATTAAGATTATTACAGTTGACCATATGTTCTGATTCAATTTACACTCCTGAGTTTCAGATAATGCACTACCTGATGACTGTTAGCAGCTTGCTGTGCTTAACTGGAACAAGCAGTGGGCATTTCATAAATATCTGATGACATTGTTGGAGCACACACTGAGGAATCTGAATTTCATTTACACTCAGGAAATGAATATCTTTCCATCACCAGCAGGACCCTTTCTGACCTGTTCTCTTCAGTTCGAGTCTTTTCCCTGTCCCCCACATCTCTAATTCTCACCATAGCATCATTCAAGTTGGATGGACTTGGAGAGGTCTCTAGTCCAGACTGACCAAATCAAGATCAAAACTGAATTCAGACCATGTTGTTCAGAGTTTTATCCAGTTAAATCCTGAAAACCCTCTGAAATGGGTATTGTCTCTCTTCAACATTTTACTGTCTCCTTGGGAAATGTTTTTTTTTCCTTCCGTCAACTTGGAACTTCACATTTTGAATTCTGAACATTGTCTCTTCTCACACCACCATCCACCTCTTCTTAATCTCTGACTAGGTAGGAAAGTTGCCAATAAGTGTCCTCTTGTTCAAGTGGCACAAACACAGCTCCCCCAGTTGCTCCACTTTGRGATGTATGTGCTGCACCCCAACCACTTCCTTGCATTCCGGCTGGCTTCCCCAAGTTTCTCACCATCTTTTCTGTATTTGGGTGCCAGGTGGAGGTGGTCCAAACTAGAGGAAGTATTCTAGATGTGCTCTAACAGAAGTACTGAGAAAAAGGCAATAACCATCTCCCTTCCTGTACYGGTGATACTCCGGATAGTATGCAGTTAGCCTTCAATCTGACTGAGGACTTGCCAATGCAGTAATCCAGTACACACACTCACTGCTGAAATGCCTCATGAAGCACAGGAGAGCTGCAATTTGTTTCATCAGTTTCCCATGTCTGAAATTCCAGGCTCCCAATATCTTTCATTTACTGTCAGTCATCATAAGTCAATCAAGTCGATATTATTTATAAAAATGGATAAGGAGACTGCAATATACAAAGAACCTTTTCTTTACTAACGGCACAACAGTCAGTCCCTAGAAGATTTTTTTTTTCAAATAAAGCAGAGTTCATTACTACTATTTCTTTTTTTCTATCTCAGTAGCAATTCAATACTTCTGTGAAGTCAGTGAAATAAGTATTTAATGTTTGTATTACAATAACTCATAGAAGCCTTGRCCTACATACAGACATTCATGGGCAAGAAATAGAAAAAAAAATCAGACAAAAAAACACAGACAAAAGAAGAAAACTGCTTCGAACTACTCACAGCTTTGTTTTTTGTGTATAGGCAGATTTGAGCAATATTTTCAAAAGCACACAGTAAGTCTATAATTAACCTAGAAACTGAACTGAAACTTATGGGAYAGAAATGTAATTTCTTAACTGTATGGTGGCTTTTTTCTTTTTATTATTTTCCTTAGCAAGTCAAAACATATATACTTATAGACATTACTTAGAGTCTTCCATTGTCTAAAACCAATTTGCTTTCTGGGAATCGTATGATAGTTATATCTCAGAAGTATGTCTGGTGGATTTTATTTTTGGGTTTGCTTCTTAAAATGAAGAAAAGGTCTAGGAAGGCGTGTGTGTGTGGAGSAAGGTGAGAGACTGAATTAGCAGCTTTATTGAAATCCAGTATTTTTTTCTCAGAAGCATAGGAAGAGAAGAAAATTGCACTAAGTATAATAAGAAAAAAAGAGGGGCTTCAAAGGAGTCTAACTGCACCAAAAAAAGTACCATCTCCATCCAAGGATATTTTGGCCCTTCTTCGTGGTATTGTAAGCTGAAGCTCATCACCTTCTTCTAATTTTGCAATGCCTGGCAAAAGATTTGGAATATTTTTAAGTCAATATTTTATATACAGTATTTTCATAATTGGTATGAAATTCATTATTACACATCATTTTACAAATTTAAGCATGTCTTGCTTTTTTATCATTAGACAAAATCTTACACATTTAAGCCCACCCAAAGTTGTTATTTAACAACATCTGTGGAGTTGGGACTATCTTTCCTAACAATTCTATCCTGTGCTCAACATGTTATATTGCACTTAAGCAAACGTTCTTTATGTTATGGTGAAAAACAGCCAAGGACAGCATTGGGTGCTGTTGGTCCCTACTCCAGTCTTGCACTTTTGGAGGAAGTTTCATAAGGTTTACATCATTTGAAGTTACCAAACATCAGCTGATTCACTGCAAATGCAGAGCACAGAAGTCTGCTTCCTGCAAACCACGCGTCAGTTGACATRACAACTGAAAGCAACACGTCTTCAAATTATAGTCATTGAGCTGAAAGCATAACTAATGTGCTGCAACCCACGGCCAGCCCTGTGAAGTATTACAGGTGAAATCTGACCTGAAGATCCACATGAAAGTGGAGGGTGGGCATTTGGGAAGCAGGAACCATGAAGTGGCAGAATTGAGTAGAGATCCTAATTAAGAAGGATGGTGTAGAACAAGGGTGAGAAAGAAGGCTACATGCAACTGAAGCTATTTATGATGTAAGAATGTGTGAAAGGAGGGGCAGAAAGGTAAAGAAAAAGTTTGGAATATTAGCTACTGAAATAGCTAATATATTTTTATATGGAGAAAAAAAAAAGTTAGCTTCCTTTCCAGGCACTTTTGTATAAAGCTAATACTTGCCAAAACTGAACTTATGTCACTGAATGTCACCCAATTTATATAAATGGTATTAGAATAGACAGTTTTCTATTCATAGAGCTCTTGCTGGAAAATAAAAACACAGCAAACCTTCCATATCTACCAAGTGGGAGGAAAGAAAGATGAGTAAAAGGAATRCTAAATGAGGTTTAATAGGCCTTGACATTAATTCCTTAAATACTGTTATAGGAATATATTTTTATGTTGAGCACTTGGCCTGATAGACTTGCACTAAATATTCTAAATGGTCTTTTTTTTTATTTTATTTTGATGTATCTGGTTTGTGCAATTTAGTGAAAATAAGATTTGTGTAGAAATTACTTTTCCATCTGTTCATCTAATGGTAAAGGCACAACGGTCATTATTAGGTGCAAAGAATTAATCTGACAAGGAAGATCTTTGAAAATTACATGAGAAGGTACATAAAAATTGGATGTCTGAAATTCATGGTTGAGGTATTGAAGTAGGATATTACTTATAAATATTTTACTGCTGTGCCTAAATCTTCTATTCAACTTCTAGGTTAAAATGAGTTCTTCCTTAAGGACAGTGTGTACTCCTGTGAGGAGGAGTTCCTTAACTGTGAAAACACCGAAGTATCTAAGTACTTAGACACAGATAGAGAGCAAGATATGTTATTCAGATCACATAAATTGGATGCGTATAGTCAGACTATAAATACTGTATATGAAACTATACCTTTTTTCAAAAAGTATTCTGTAATTTTACAAATAAGTTGATCCATGAATGTAGCCTGTACAACTGCTACAATACTTAATCACCCATTAGCACAGATTCTACTTGGTACAGTCTATTTGTAAACAAAGAAGAGTTAAAAATAAATGATTACCAGCAGTATAGCAAGAATTATTTGGATAAGATTGCGGCATATTCTGGATGCAACGAAATAATGTCACCAAACTTAGATCATCACCAAACACATGGGCCTTCTTCCTCTGTATTAGATGTCCCATAGCAAATGTTGTATCTGTATATAAAACCTGGAGAAGGAAGAAGAAAAGACATCAATCATATTTTATGAAGACATTAAAAATTCTTAAAACCTTGAAGTGAGGTGATCTGAATCTGGTACTGTAGTGAATCAAGCGTGTCTACCTGTCCATATATGAAAAAGTATCCTGTTTCTTTGATCACTATTTTATTTCCTTGTTCTTCCAGAGCTGTTCCACGTTTAAAGCTAAGGAGCCATGGGACAATGCTTGAGTCATCTAGAAGAAACAAGAATTTGGGGTTAATGAGAAAAACAAATTTACTTCCTTGATTTTCATCTACTAAAATTTAACAATGCTGACTTCCAATCTTAATAGTGGGATTTTCCCACTGAAAAGAGAATATTGCGTGTATGTCCAGCTGCATAGACCTTTTTGGACTTTTTTAAAAAACAAAAAACAAAACATAACTCAGTATTCAGTTTTGAAATTATCTAAAATTGGACAGACAGGCTAAGGCTAATACATCAAATAACTAAAAGTCATTTGTATGTTTTTGTATATTCTTACCTTTCTGTTGGACATCACTTTTGCTGTCAGCAATCAGTTGCAAACAGGCCTGCAACACTGCAAAGTGAAATCAGTTAAAAATCAAAGGAAAATAAATCATTAACAGAATGGAATAAGCTTTTGGAAAKGCTTTTAAGAAAGAGAAGATAGAAATGACAAAAAATACTTATCTTAGTCTCACCATGTATTTGCAAATAGAATCTATCCATTGATTTTAGGACAGACACACACCATAATCAAATTCATACCTCAACACATATTAGATAACTTTCAGAGAGCATGCATCTAAGTAGGAGGCCTCAGATAGTAGCACAAATTATATTTGTTTGTTCTAATCCCTGATTCCCATGCAATAGTATAATGTAGCAGTAACTCAAATGAGGTAGGAAAGGAATCATTAAAATACTTTAGCTTTATTAAATTCCTAAACAAACAAAGAGAAAAGACAGTCACGACAGATAGTGGATTTTTTAATAATATTCATTGCACTGTTTAAAGAAATTAGTTTGCAATTCACAGTTTCTGTAGGATGTTAATCTTATATATGATAGTTACATGACATTTGTAAAAATAATAAATTCAAATTCTCATTATCAATATATACGTACTCTCAATACATTTTCAGGTAGACAGAATCAATAAACCTGTACTAGAATAAGAAGACAGAGAGAGGCTGCTTAGCAAATACATMCATAACAAGTTCCCTAGTACTGATCAAATGCGATGCATTACTCAAATGTTGACAGTAAAGAGAAACTAATGAGAAATTAGAAGTTTGATCACAGAAAAATACAGTTATATGTTAAGATAATGGCTCATGAAACAAAAGATCCTTAAAATCTACTAAAATCTAAAAAATGGACAGTTGCATTTGCTTACAGCCTTTGGCTGTGGTAGTACTTCGAATCTGAGAAGTATTAGAATCAGTGAATCTGCKAAACTAGTAATTTACTAGGAATCAAGAAAAAAAAAGAAAAAAAAAAAGGAAACCTGCTTTGGATTGCTGCATCTTCATCCTTGTTTACCTTTTCTCAGATAAAAATGCCTGCCTCAACCAGATTTGGCCATTCTTGCTACAATGGGAAGAGCCTTACTCTCTGAGATTCAGTCACTACATTTGTCAGTGGTACCCAAGGGTACCATAGAGTTGCAAGCAGTATACACTTTTAGCCACACTGCATGTAGCAATAGGGTCAAAAATTCTTTCTGAATGCCTCTCAGCTTAGAGTAAATCAAATCTGAGCTTCAGCTTTGTAGTCAAAAGAATTGTTGAATAATTAGTAATGGATTCAGAATACAGGATTGTTGAAATAATTCTGTATGTAATAATATTGAAACTGAATATCACAATGATGTCTAGCTGAATAGAACAGGTTCGATCCAGAACAACAATGTATGCCTGACCACTTGGGATTTCAGACAATTGCTTTGCTTTCATTAGATTTTTCTTTTCTAATTTATATTGCTCTGAGGGGTACGGGTGGAGACAAAACATTTCAGAAACTGTCTTCTTCCATGTAGTGGARAACCAGTTCTGAAGAAATTAGTGACTATATATGCATTTATAAATCATATAAATCATGCACAGGCAGTGCATGAAGCAATGCAATCTGTGTTAGTTGCAGCCATAATTTCAMAAAAGCTAGCAAAGTCTTACTTTTGCAGCAGGATGGGAACTCATCCTTCTACATATCAGCATGATTTAAGATATAATACCAGCGTGGTCAAATTCCTCTCCCATGCAGATTTTTGTATCATTTAACTTGTCTAATCATTTTAGCATCATGTAATCTAATTCATCATCCATCCAAATAAAATTGCTGGTTTGGTAAATATCTACACATGGGCTGAAAATTATGTTTAGGTATCTGAGATCGGAGACATCTATTTCAATTTCTGCTGAACCTAAAACAAACAACCATTCTGAACGTTAAAAACCAGACATGTCTATTTAGGTTCCTTCTTTGGTTTTGATCTGTTCTCTATAGACTTCCTGAAACAAGCTTAAACAGTGGACAATTTTGTTTATAGATTATGTACATGTTCTTGAATGATTTTTCTTCCCATAACTTGATTCTTTTCATAAGAAATATTATTTTAATTTTTGCTTCTGTATTTTATGTAGACTGGCTAATTTGGTGCTTTTTAACTGAAAAGGATTTTTGAGACATAAATTAGATTATACCCATTTTTTCATTAAAATGGTTTGGCAATAGTTGCAGGTACAATTCAGATGTAACAAATATCCTCAAATTTGTATTTGTAGCTTTACCTTTTTCTTAATAGAATTAGCAGACTCTTACAATAGATACAATGAGTTATTTACTAAGTATGGTTTATGTGAACTTCTATTACACAACATAAAGCAGAGGTTTTAGCCCTAAATGAGAGCCCATTTTGTATATTTTTCGTTGCAGTGTTCAGCATAAAATGCAACTCATTCATTCATTCATTCAGTAAGTACAATTSTTCATGTAAAACTGCAAGTATTGCAAGTCCTTGTCCTTTCATGCATAAGAAGCTACTTCCTTTTGAATTGTCAGTTGTCAGCAGAAACAAAAGGATAACATCTCTTTTCAAGAAGTAGGTCTTTATTTTTAAGTTTAGAGAACTCCCATATTTCCTCTCTTCATACAATTAATATAAGAAGTATTTTGAATAATTGGGGAGGGAAATTCACATTTAGTATTTGTTTAGACTAGTGGGAAAACATTTACATTTCTTGATTCAAAGATCTTCGGAGTGAGACTCAAATTTTAAGTTTGCTTCATTCCTTCCTCACAGAGGTCTAAATCAATAACATACAAGATGAAAACACTTCTACCCAGCAAACAGATGATTTTCCATAAAGTCAGTTATATCTAAAACAATGACAAARGTGATATATTGTTATAATTTATATTCAGATTTGCAGACCACTATGCTCTCTGAGGTCATAGTTGACATCAGAGGACAAACTTGAGAACTGCTAGTTGAAAAATATCTGAACCTCATGTCTTGTTTGCCTATTTCACTGCTTTAAAAGCTTACTTAGAATTTCTCTTCCATTCTTTCAATAAAGGCAATTAAAGTGAGTGGAATGGACAATCTCAGTACACTTTAATATATTCTACTGATTTCCTATTCTGATCACACCAAAAYTTTGCTAGAATTTGGGATTAGAGTGGACTTGATGCTTATCTCTCTAGCTCAAGACTGGAATTGGAATCACATAATAGAAATCAGAACTAGGCCCCCATTAATGAAACATGGCATTCATAAATTGAATTGGTTTAGGTAGCAAAACCTATATCTTTACCCTGGAAATGTGTGGACATACATCTTATCGAGAAACATGCTGGCAATGCAATGAGAAATTGTGACTCAGGCATATAGTTTAGAAACGGTTTCTGTTGTGTAGCAGTTCTCCTTGTACTGATGAAATTTGTTAAAAAAAAAAAAGACACAAAAAAATTATCTATGTTCTTATGTATCTTAAAATTACGTGTACCAGAAGTGGTTAGATGATTTATCTGTCTGCATATTAATAATACGTATCTTTTGAAATTACCCATTAACTCCCACTCATTGCATCAAAACCTCTGGTTTAACTGCTAACTGTCTAACTTTATTTGGAATTGTTGTTGAAAATGTCTTTCTTCAGCTTACTGGAGCTGGAAACTTTTTCAAGATACAAAATGTACAGTACAGATGTCCCTTGTATTTATACACAAGCATGTACGAATGCACGCCAACAAAAATATGAAAATAATATGTCAGTTCTCATTGAGTTGTCATTTTAATTTAAGTCCTMTTTTTTGGCCACTTTTACAGACACAATATTAAGTAAAACAAACAAACAAACAAAAACAACAAAAACTTGTAAAATGGATTTTCCATACGGTTAAGTAGGCTTTCCTGATCCTAAAAAGATTCATAGGGGTATTCATGTTCATCTCTGGATTTTAATAATTAAAGTTTCAAACCTTAACAGAATCAAACCATGCCTTTTTATTTGTTAACAAAAACAGTTCTATCTTTTACCACTGCTCTCTGATTTAAGAAAGGATATCTTACTGATTTAAGRAATCAGTACACATGGGCATGAAATTATGAGTTGCCAATAAATTATCCAACCAGACTCCAGACTCTATTAGGAGTCCTTGTTCTAGAAGAAATAGAATAAAATAGAATGAAAACAAAGAAATCAATTTATAAGCCATAGCACTGAGGCTGCAGGACAATTTGGAGGCTGCCAGGATTCTAACACGGAGCAACAAATACAGGAGAACAAAACGAAGGGATAGCAGCTTTGTGTATCCTACCAAGTAACAGGATTCAGCACCATGAACAACACCTTATGCCCCTATTTTTTCCCATCTCTCTGCTTAAAAAAAATAATTTGACATATTGACTGGGAAGGCAATAGTCATCAGTGAAGCAAAATCGGATTTGAGAAAATGTAACATCTTACTGAACATCTTACTGACAAGTTTAGTTTGTTATAGTTTGAACAGGCAGAAAAGTAATGATGCCTAAGTGATGATCTTCCATATTAAGTCCAGGATTTATAATTTATTCTTTTTTATACATATATACACAAAATAGCATGATCTTCTTAGAAAATAGTTTATAGTAGATTAGTCAGTGATGTAATTCACTATTAAATTGACTATTATTAGTCATTTTAACCAATGTTTATATTCTGTGATTTCTCTTATTCATCTAGACAAAAGCTCTTTATAGAGCTTTTAAATATATGTATTGTGTATATATATAGTAGAATATATATATTAGAAATATATGTATTAGAAATATATATAGTAGAAAAAGAATCATAGAAATACTGTAGAAATAAAATTATAAGTTGCTTCTTTTGTGAGATAAATAAGGATACCTGATGAAAAACTCTTATCTGTGTCAAAACCAAGTTGAGAAGCCCCAAACCTCCTATCTATTACACAACTTTAAATAGCATTAAGAATAAAGATAAAAGTTACTATGAAGAGTACTGAGTAACCTGCAGAATACCAGTGCAAGTAACTGGAGTGTCAACTCAATTAATAAAGAAATGACTCCTTATTTTGATGATGCTTGGGCTTTAGGTACTAAGGATCTCAAAAATTTATATATAAAGTGTTGGGGTAGGGAAAAAAAGAGAAGCTCTGTGACTCTAATATTCCACAGGAAGCTACAAGAAATGACAATTATGGAATCTTGTTGTTAATTCTGTCTGTGAAATCACTTTTAGTAAAGACTCTGAACTAAATATTATGAGTAAGTGAGGAAAAAACAAAACAACAAAACAGCAGCTCTTGAATCCCTCGTGAATTTTTTTTTGAGAGAAAGAGAGAGAGATTTGGAAGTAAGTAGAATACTTATGCTTAAATTTAAACACTTAAATTTCATTTAGCAAGCTGAAGCATAAGTGAAATCCTGTTTAGCTTAACTGATCAATCAAAAACATGTTTTACACAAAGACTAATTTAGGCTTTTCCTAGCTAATTACTCCATTTTATTTTGGTTAAATAATGATTCAAGGTGTCAGCATTCATCAGYTGAAACAATCTGAGAGTATCCATAGGAGGACTGAACTAATTTAGCAATTTAGGAATGTTTTTAGTAATACGCTGTAATTAGATTAGGTACATTGCTGTATTAAAATTCTGCATTTTATACTGCCACAAGTCAGGATAGAACAAGCAAACAAAAAGTTCAGTGACTTTTCCTTCAGGGAAACAAATATCTCTCATGAATATTTCAACATTATAATACACTAAAAAAGGTGTTTAACAGAGCACACTCTTCAGTATTCCCTAGTACCTTTTATGAAGACCTTTAGAAAGAGAAAAATCTAACCTGAACTCCTTACAGTCTGCCTCCTTTGACAGGTACAGACAAGTCTTTCTCTTTGAATGCTCCTACTTCCCTAAATACAAGGAGCTTTCTTGTCACTTCCCTCTTTCAGGATAAGAATTTTTTTCCCAGAAAAATGACTTGCATTTTTATTTTTTAGTCATATTTTTTCCTCCTGAATGTTGACTAGAGAAAACGAAATAGGACATTAGCCTGAAATGAGAGTAATGGAATTAAAACTGAACAATACAAAATTTGCACAAATCAAAGCTGTCTTTATACCATTCCTCATATTCGAGAAATTGTGGTGCTGTGACAACTAGACTTGGGATCTAATTTTTAAAGTTTAACATGGAGATAGCATGAAAACCTCCAAGACTAATGAAGGGAACCATTAAGGAATACACTTCTAGTTATTAACATGTATTCTGGTGTGTATATACACATATATTAAATATGTAGATATAAAGAGAGGTTATTGGAGCATTAATTAGCTTACAGCAGAAGATTCAAGTCAAGTATTGTCACTCATCACAGAGAAGTATCCCACCACAGTGTCCCCAGATACTCCACCGGGTGTTACTTACCTGTTTCTTCAGTGTGGATTATGGACCTCCTCACCCTGTTTCCACTCCCATTCCAGCCGAGCTGGAAGTGCTCGGCTGTGGCAGGGCCAGGGATTGTGCTTCCCTAGTGGAGATGAGTAGCGGTGAGCACAAGCAGCTCCATGTCTGCTGTTCTGCTCCCTCACCCCCTGCCACCAGAAGACCACCTTGCCACCTTACCTGCTTGCCAGCAGCTGTTGAGCCTTCCAGGAAGGAAGAAGCGGGGGCTCCTGCTCGGTTTTCCTTAGGGGACACCAGCGGCTGGTCTAGCCGGGAGCTTGCCTGGACCCTGTAGATCAGCTTGCTACGGAGAGCTTCTACTTCTGTTTTCAGGGTGATAACATGGTAAAGAGACACTGCTGCAAGCCAAGAGGACAGGAGCATTGCAAGCCACAGGAATGTGACAGAAAAAAGTCCCCTGGTGCCCCAACCAGCACCAGGGTGGGCAGAGGGAGAGGAGGCGGTATCCTTCTGCGGGATGACGTGCACACAGTCCACGGATTTCATCGCTGCTCTTTCCTCACTAAAGCCAGAGGGATAGTTCAGCTGCCTYCTGCTGAGGTGCAATCCATGTTACCCGTTGCTCTGTGAAACTAAGAGCATCCAGAATAAGTGAACAAAACGCCCAGATCATTTCCTGTCATATGAAGCTGTTGATATAACCATTAAACTTAATGTACAGTGAGCGTCTAAGATTAGGTCTCCCTTTGGTTTTCTTCTCTCTGTGCTGCATTTTGGCAACAAATACTTTCTCATGAGCTGCTTGCTCAATCTACCTTCCTCCTTTCACTTTCAACTATTCATTTGTGTGGCAACTTGCTACTACCATTTCCCACTATCTTTAAATTTAGGCGTAACTGGTACCACTTGTACTTAGAGCCTTATCTAGAAATGCAGAAGAATATGTTTCTTGGCAGTATCATCCAATGCTGCTCAACGGACATATGCCTGTGGTGATGTGTGTATAAAAATATGCATTTTATGTATATATGCATTTATATTTTCATATCTAAACTGCATATGTGCCTGCAATGGCTTATATAATAATTTTTGAGGTTTTCTAAAACAGTGACAAATATTCCTAGGCATGAATAACAAATTGCTGTTCTCTCAGGTGTATGAAGTGGCAGGCTCTGAGCGTAAAATTCATGACACAAATTTCAAAAGTGATGACTTCTTATTAAGCTGATCTAATAAATGTACTGACTTTGCTATGGAGTTTAAGGATCTGGATTGGTGCAGGGGGAGGGGAATAATAGAAGAGGTAATAAATAAGAGAAAGTGAATGGAAAAAAAAGCTTTAAACATGAAAATACATGCTTAATTTTTCAGGTGAATTCTACAGGACTGGCACTAAATTCAATTGTTTTTAAGATCCTACTAATTCTTTCATATTTAAAACGTCCATTGATAACTCCTTCCTTAACGTACTTGCCATCTTCAACAGCAAAGGTAGCTGAAACACTCAAAACACGCTTACAATGTCTTCTCTCTCTCACACACACACACACACACACACACACAAATAAAGTTTTATTCTTTTGTGGTTTTCAGTGGTTTGGGCCAGAAAATCAAAAGTATCATGCTCAGATGCAACAACTTAAAAAAATAACTTAACTCCTGCTGAATACTGACATTTTCTTTTACCACAAAAGCTTCATCTTGCAGGAGATAGAGCTTTTACAGGTCTGTCTGGAAAGCGTGCAGTGAATCCTCCTGGTAACACCTGCCAGAAGAATATCTTCAAATCTAGCTGATCCTGCTAGGAAGGAGAGGGAGAAGAAGAAAAAGAAACAGAGGAAAAAAAAATCAAAAACCTTTTCTCTCCTTTTAAGAAAAAGCAGAGAAAAAATAATTATCATCTGTCTTAACATGCTCCTAGAAGACATACACTGTGAAAAATGATAGTGAAACCAACAGTGGAAGAGCAAGAGCAGAATATTTTCAAGAGTAAGCTAAGGTGTAGCCTGTTGATGAGGCTGCATTTTAAAGCAAACTTAAGAGGTATTAAGGTAGATTTTGTGGAACATAATAAGCTATTATTTGAAATAAAAAGATGTGCCTAGAAGTATCAACTGACTTAGAACATCATTGTTCTGGAATAGAGAATGACTGTGTTTCAAAATAAAACAATATGCCTGCAAGAAAAAAAGTGCTATTTAAGCAAATGAAACCAAAGCAGAGAATGCAAATTATGACCAGTAATTCATGAGTATGAAGAAACAATTCACCAGAGAGTTTCTGTGGTCATTAATGTGTAARAAAATAGCTGACATATAATAATTAGCATCACACAACTTTTTCTTACATAAAATAGGTTGTTTCTGATCATCCATGCCTTCCTTAAATGGGGTCACTACTTGGGCTGACAAAAGTAATTGTGGGGGACATGGACGACTYCTGTAAGACATTTGGCTTTGACTTGCTCATCATTTTGATAAAYTAGAATTACAAAGGGGAGAGAAGAAAAATCACAGCAGCCTACATATGACAAGCTGTTAAATTCAACACTATTTCTAGCCAAGTTGTAAAGGGATCACTCTGTTATTAATCCTGTGCTGTTCCATAGCTCCATAAAAATTCAATGAAGGGATCAGAACAAAAACAGAATTCTAAACAAATTTTGCAGGTAAAAAAAAAAAAAAAAAGAAAAAAGAAAATGACAACAAGAGACAGTCATGAAAAATATCATGAAATTCTTGGAAACATACTATTTAAAAAATGTACATTTTAACACAGTCAAATGACACATTGGCAAATTAAGGATTACTAATTGATTGCAATTTCCTGCAGAGCATTGATTATTTTTGACACAGATAGTGGAGGAGTGAATGAGGACGGGGTGCTGCTGGACCTACTAGTAACAAAACAAGAAGGACTGGTTGGAGATATGAAGCTGGAGAGCAGCCTAGGCATGAAGTACAAGTCTGACTTGTACTCCACAAGTAAGGACTGTGGAGGACAGGACGTTGCATGGTGGAAGCAGGGCAATAAGTAGGATTGCAATCCTGGACTTAAGAAGAACAAAATGTGGCCTCTTCAGGGACCTACTTGGAGACAGTTGGTCCTTGGTTAGGATCCTAGAAGGAAGGGGCRGAGGGGAGAGAAGGGGGTCCAAGAAAGCTCGTCCAAGAGAGTCCAGGCACTTTCTCCCAGCTCAAGATTGGTGTATGTCAATGAGGAAGAAGTCAGGCACAAGGGCAGAAGATGGATGAGTTTCTGGCAAAACTCAAAACAAAAACAAAACAAACAACAAAAAAACAAACAGCCTTTAGGAATCCCAGATGCTTGTAACCTTGTAACAAGGCAGGAAATCTGGAGGAAGGAAGACTTCCCGTTGGTGGAGGCGGATTGAGTTAGAGATCATTAGTCAAACCTGACATACACAAATCCATGGGCCCTGATGGGATGCACCCAACAGTGCTGAGGGAGTGGGACAATGCTATTGCTAGGTCACTCTCTGTCACCATTGATAGATCAGAGAGTGCGAGAGGTGCCTGAAGACTAAAAGAAAAGCAACGTCACTTCAAAAGAGGAAGGACTCATGAAACGACAAGCCAGATAGGCTCACCTACATTTTTCCAAATTTGAAGGAACAGCTCATCCTGGATATCATCTCTGAGCATGTGGAGGACGAGATTAGGAGTAATCTGCATGGATTCATCAAGGGGAAATCATGCTATGCCAAGCTGACAGCTGTCTGTGATGTGTGCCTATGTTGACTTCACCAAGGCYTGAGTGGGTTAGATGAGCAGGCAGTAAAATGGATTGAGAATCATCTGAATGGCAAAACTCAGAGAGTTATGACCAGTGGCATGGAGTCTAGGTGGAGACCTGTAGCTAGCTGTGTCCCCTAGGGGTCAGTACTGGGTCCAGCCTTGTTCAATTTACACATCAATGACCTGGATGAAAGGACAGAGCRCCCTTGTATCATGACAAGTTAGGTCATGATACAAAACTGACAGAAACGTTGGATACACTAGAAGGCGGTGCTGCCATTCAGAGGGACCTAGACAGGCTGGAGAGTTGAGCAGAGAGAAAACTCAGGACGTTCAACAAAGGCAAGTGTAGGATCCTGTATCAAACGAGCAATAACTCCRGCAGTTAGGGACTAACCTAACTGCCTTTCCTGTGGGAAAGGAGCYCTGTAGAGAAAGATCTGGGAGCCCTGGTGGACAACAAGTTGACCAGCAGTGTGCCCTTGTTGCTCAAAAAGGCCAATGGTATCTTGAGGTACATTACAGAGCATTGGCCAGTAGCTTGAGGGTGGTGATTCTCTCTCTCTCTACTCAGCCCTAGTTGAGGCCACATCTGGATTATTGTGTCCAGTTCTGGSATTTCCAGTACAASAGCGACATGGAGCTACATGAGAAAGTCCAACWTAGGGCTACAAAGAGGATTAGGCGACTGGAGTACCTCTTTTATGATGAAAGACTGAGAGAATTGGGCCTATTTGGCTTCAAAAGGACCGAGAGGGCAATCTTATTTGTATAAATAGGCATTTTAAGRGAGGGTGTCAAGAGGTGGTGGCCCATTGAGAGGACAAGAGGCAGTGCACAAACAGGAAYACAGGAAGATTGATCTGAATGAGTAAAACTTCATTGCGAGGATGACAGAATAAAGGAAGAGGTTAAGAGAGCTTCCAGAGTCTCCTTCTTTGCAGGTATTCAAAACCTGCCTGGACATGATCCTATGTAACACATTCATCCTGATTGAGTATGGGGTCGTACTAGATGAACTCCAGAGATCCCTTCCAACATCAACCATTCCATGAGGACTTTTTTATTAAGATATGGTGAAAGGACCAAGGATTGTTGAGTTGAGATCTTGCATTCACTGATGTGAAATGGTGACGACTCCTGATGAACATAAGCTGTCAGTGGAACACTGTTGTTGAAATATAAATGTAATAAATATTTATATATATGATGAAGATTAAGGAAAAAAAGAGAGCTAATAACAACCGAGCTTTAGTATTAACAAGACCATTACTTAATACTGCATACAGTTATAATGGCCAAAACCTAAGAGCAAAAAGAGTTCAGAAAAATAAATCATAATGGATTTACAAATTCTAAAGAATCACAGAACAGTAATTGGTTTGTGATTAGCAGCCCATTTATACAGGTCACCTTTCTCAAAATGCTTTAGCAGGTTATGCCATATCATTGTTTTAATGCCAAGCACATATATTTTATGCTACATGTACACAGTAAAATCTTAAGGTGATAAGTAGCCATCTCAAGACAGTTCAAGCAGCTTTTTCCCAACTACTCCTACAGAAAAAAAAAATGCTACTACATTAAACAGAAATATAGTCCTAGGTATCTGTATCTGGAAATAAAGAAGGATAGACCCTTCCAGCAATGTTATTCTGGAAATATGATCCATTTTGCATGCATAATACAGCTGATCCATGCACATACAATAAACCCAATTATGTAATGCTGCCTTAATCCAGAGAATGGACTGAATCCGTCAGGTAAACAGAGTGAGTACTACTGCCTTAGCACAAGCAACTATGGAATCTCTTTAATTTAGTCAAGGAAAACTATTTAAAAATGGTTTGATCAGTCTAAATATTTTACTTAGTTGAGCCTAATTTTAAG